GCTGAGATTGGTCCACCGCCCAAATAATATCTGGCTAGTGGTGGTCCTATGGTGGTACCTTTCTATTGATGGATGGGATAGAGGTGGGCTGATGCGTTTTACAACAACAGATGGGCTGTAGTCAGTAACTGTAAACCTACTAAATGCAACTATATGGTAGAATAAAACCGTATAAAATGAACAATGAGTAATACAAGACAGGTGCATCTAATAACCTGGCAACTCAATGTATGGTACTAACAGTCCAACAGTTTCAGTTATAAAAATGTTGTGTTCTGCTCAGTGTAAGTATCAGGGAGTCAGTGTTATGAGTTTTATTTCTGATATCTGAACCTTAGTGAAGAGTAAACCAGCCTTCAGAATTTAAGAAGACCCCTCAGGTCTTCAATAAAGCAAGCCCTACAACCTAAAGCAACACTCTCACACACTGCAACTTGTCAATCACATGGCTTGAGCTGTCATGCGGAGCCTGTTCTAATCCTATTTGCTCCGTGGCAATTTAAACGCTAACAAGGATTAATGGAGAAAAGGAGGAATGGTTCCATTTGCTCGGAAAGTCGCCGTGCATGATCTCTGAGTAAATCACAGGCAGGATGCAGATAAGCTTGCTACAGGCTGACCTCAGCGTTTTGGTTTAGAGAAGAGCACAGGCACAGCTGAAGCACTGCTCTACTAAAGACACAAGGCCACATGTATTTTTCATCAGAAAGTGCACACTGTCCCAGCATGACCCGCCATCTCTCTAACACACTGCCTCCAACACCTCACACAGCATCTGCTCTCAAAACCAGCTCATCCTTTCTGACACATGAATGCTGTAAATCCACTGCAAATGTAAAAGGGCTCGAACTAGGGCGCTTTCTGGATGTTCATCTGTAACGGATATCATTCACAAGTGAATTGAGAGGAAAATTGAAGTATTTTTAGCTCATTGGCGCTGCGGTTAAGTGGTTTTCTCAAGGTTGAGCTTGTCTGCTGCTCATGGTTAACTGGATTCTTTCAGCATTACAGAAATAGGCAGGGCTGGGACGGTTACTTTAAAAATGTTTTTTGGTACAGATTACTGATCACTTGTTAAAAAATATGACCTGTAACCCATTGCAAGGGATTACTATATTCATTTTCTTTACATTCATTGTGGATTACATTTCTTTTTAAAGCCATATAATCAAATAAATTGAAACAAATTTGAACATACCTTTGGAATGGGCTCAAGTAGCAACTTATCCCAAAGTCCATCTGACCTCACTAATGCTTTTATGGCTGAACGCAATCAAATCCTCACAGTAGTATTCCAACATCCTTGATTTCAGAAGAAATACTGAGCAGGTGTCTACAAACTTTTGGATGTACTGTGTATATTATAGGTGACATCTAATGGTCAGCCAAAACTATGCACCCTTGGTACAACAGGACTTATGTTGTTTGAAACATGGAAAAAAAAACATTAAAAAAACTCCAAGATATCCTGTGTTCCTCACAAAAATTGACTGTGTTGGTACTTTCCTTTTTGTAAAATGACAGCAGCACAGAGAATTTAAACCCCCTCATTCAAGAGTTGAAAATTTGAATGTTTTCTCATATAGTCAGGCCAGAAAATTAAATTACAGACCCCTGGGCACAACTGTTTTAAGAGCCCCTACCTGGCTACCTTTTTGGTAGTAATGCATTTTTTTTTTTCAATGTTAACATTACACGAGGGCTGGTCAGCATCAACAAACTAAGTGTTGAGCATGTGACTAGTGTAACTGATTTTTTATTTTACTTTATTTTATTTTTGTTTATCTTTTCATCTTTTTATTTCATTTTTCCGTGTTGTATTTTACTTATTTTTCTGAAAGAATGTTTTAAATGTTCTGATCAAGCTGCATAGTCTGGGGCTTGCAGTATACAAAACTATAATCAGGTTAACTATGTGGTTATATTATAATATTTCTGTTATATTTAATTAATAATTAAATAATAATTAAATAGGATAAAGTAATTTATTTGATATCCAGTGGGAACTGTGTTGACCTGCCTTGGTTGCATAAAGACCATACTAAGTTGCCAAACAATCCTTTTCCCAAATGCACTGTGCCCTAAGGCATGGCATGAGGTTACAGCCCATTGCCAACAGACAGTAGTGCAGTTATCATATGATCCAACATCCTATTGTGGTTCAAAACAAACAAATCAATAGCAATAGATGCTTTCTTGTTAACAAGAAACAAAGATGAAGAAAACAACACCAGGAAACTGTAATGCAACCTAAGCTAAAGCATACAGCCACGACTGGCATGAAATCTTTTTTTTTTTTTTTCATTTGATTTCTTTGTGGAAGCTGACAGTTCACAACACAGCAAATTTTCTTTCTTTAACTCAGGCTGACATTTTTAATTTGTGTTTGGCTTTGGAAAATGGGCATCCTCTACTCTGTAGGTATTAGGTCTCGCTTTTACTAGTCATGTGCATCTTTATTAATATTTGGAGCTTCAAGTTCGAAGTACATTCATGTGCTAACTCAAAAAACTAAGCTTGACTGAGGTAATAGAACAGTGATTGAAGGAGAAAATGAAACTGACATTCAGAAAAACCATGGAGAGCATCAGGATCACTTGAGGCTTAAATTAGTATATTTTTTGCTTGTGCACAGTTCTCACTGCATGTAAAGACAGCTGTTCAGATCTAGTCATAATTGATTGTGGGGCACCCTGGTGGCTTGGGCCCCTGGGCTCACTCCCATAAAACCCACATAATGATCCAGGCCTGCATATATGTAGAGGACAAACTAATCCCTTTGGCATTATTAAAAGTACAAGTTGGTGCAGTTCATGTCACCTGTGAATGTTTGCAAAAATCGAAACAGAGGACGAATAAAATAATGTTGAGTTTTTAACATCTGAAAAATTGCATTTGGTGCACAAGAGTTTCAATAAAATCCTGCTAGCAATTACCATATCTTATAATGTATCTGTAATCTTTTATCACCTTTTATTGCCTATTTATGGTTTTTGGTTTAGGTTAGACCTTCAGGAGGTTAACTACCAACATAATTAGGAAGTGACCGGCAAACAACCAATCATGTTTTGGGACCAATTTCACAAGAAAAACATCATTCTAAGATGTTTTTCTCATGAAATTGATGAAATGATCTAAGCCATGAAATTCTCTAAGCCTTCTGGAAGTCATGAATACATCACTGACTGAGAAAACAAACCACAGTCTAACCAGGTTTCAGTCAGATGTTAGAAATGAAAAACACCAGTAGCTCTATGTCAGAGTTCTGTACTGTGGGAATCACTGTAAAACTACAATATCATCACTATCCAAAGAAAAACATGTCTCTCCAAAACAGTAACTTTACAGGAGAAGGCAAAAGTCGTTCTTAACTTTTACTATATGTTAATGTAAAGAGCATATCTGGAGCATTTCAGCGATGACATACAAGGTAAAACGCTCCTCTACACTAGCGTTACTTAGTGCTAGCATAATATTACAAATCCCAAAAGTCAACATTATGGTAAAGATGTTTTTTTTGTACATTTATTACACAAGCTTAAAGCCTAAGCTTAGTGAAGGCTCACCACTGTTTTGTTTTTTTAACCACAGGTTATGGGGCAAAAAAATACAACACCCCTATAATAAAATCAATGAAGTTTTTCATCTGTTATTAAGAAACACAACTGTCAAGAATTGTTCCATGAACAGCATAATGGTATTAAACAACTTGGTGCTTTAGCTGATGTGAAAAGTCATATGTATGTGTAAATCAAGTTATTCACAATTACTTCGATAATGGCTCAGCCAATCAGATATTAGAACCAGAACAAGCTGTTTTATAATGTACCTGCTGATACATTTTACTCTGGCCAACATGGACAGGCAAGCAATAACTACTTTCTGGGAGATTTTAATGAGTTTAAGGAAGCAAAGCCAAAAGTCTCTGAACCTGTCTGCTGATATGTTAGGCAGAGTTTAAGAGTGGTACTGAAAATGCTAAGCAGCGAATGTCCTCCTCGAAGGGCAAAAGATTTCTGCCAGCCAAAAACACACTTAAAGGTTGATGAACTGGTTCTTTTTATGCACTGCAGAATCTGAACTAAGCAGGCTGCAGTGGTAATGCACAGTGTGGCTTCTGACTCTCATGCTTGAGACGAAGGGTTGAAAATGAGTCCCTGAGCATGCTGGGATTTATACTGATGGAGGTGAAAAAACTGATACCCCTCAAATGAGTGACAGCTCCGGTGCAGGTGTGCATCAGAGAAGTAAAAGCGCTTGGTATAATATTCAAATATATGCTGTTTACACATAATACTGACCACCCTTCATAAACTCTAGTACTGATAAATTCTACTGCTCACTCTTAAAGTAAGAAATGAAGCCCGATGGACACACTCACTACTGCAAATATATATATATACTCTTATATACCACTCTTAATTTTGAGTGAAAAACAGACACGTTATGTCTCATACACCACTAAACTCTCAGCAAAGTTTCTCTTGAGTTTTCCTTTCTGAAAGAGAGGAGGAAAAAGCTCCAATCTTGCTTCAGATCTGAAAAAAATCCATATCATATTACATTAAGTTATTGAGGCTTCTGTGTAAAATGTGTTTAAATATCTTGCATTTAAGGTCTTTAAATAAATATTAAATAAAATAAATGAAGGGTGGTCTCTGACATCTGAACAGTACTGTGCATTTAAGAATGTTTTTTTTTCTTTCTCTTAAAGTTACTGTGTCAGTTTTCAGTTTTGTTAGGACAGCATTGTTAGATTTTATACAAGGTTGGTCTGGACTTTAGCACAGTATTGTAATAACATACACATTAGAATTCAATTCCATTCAGTGCTTTACTATTTGCTGCGTTAAAATTCAAATGCACTTTGTCCAATACCAGCTTCAGGGTCTAGCAAGCTTCGACAAATAGAGCCAAGCTTTAGTCATTTAGTTGTTGTGCTTTATTGATGAAAACACAGAATTATTTAGGCATGCTCTTCATGCATGGGATTTACTTACTGCGCTAGTAGTACCATCAGTGTCTGTTAGTCGCTGATGCAGGTCAAACCAGACTGTCTGTAACAAGAATCAAAACAGAAGAGCCGCTAGTCATTTCAGCTTTCCCCCTCAGCTGTCCTCCATAGGTCTGTATTGAGGCAATCTGGAGAAGCTAGCAGCAAGCAGCTAGCATCAAGGCACCAGGGGACACACATAAGACCATTTAACTCTGATATACATCAAAATAAAACAACCTTAATCATAGTTCCTTCAACACAGCTATATTGTTACAGTACAGTAAAGCCAGCTGAAAGCTAACTAACTGTTCTTTTTTAAGAGCAGCACCACATTAGCACAGCCTACAGACACAACTCCTGCAGCAAATATACTTCTTAGTTTTGTAAGGAAGCTGGTCAGCTTGAATGTCTTTTTCAAGAGTTCTTCTGTTGCTGATTAATCTATTCATGGCTTAACTACGCCTGCCTGCTTCCTAACAGGCCTGGGAACAGTAAGGAAACATGGACAAATGGTTAACAACAACAACAGCAAAAAGTGCTTAATACAAGCAAACAAACAAATAACCAGTATTCAGTATTTTGGTAGTGACAAAATGGAATGTTCAAAATGTTCAAGGTCTGAAGCTCAGGTCATTTAACATTCAAAATTTGTTTTGACTTTGAACCAGTTCAGTGCAAAATAATGTATACAAGATTAGGATTACATTTTTTATTTAATTTACCGCCATCAATCATTAAAAGGCCATTATAAATGTTAAAATGAGAGTCACTTGAGGACACTGGTCACTGTAACTTCTGGGCATCTGAGGAAATCAGTGAGAAAGAATTTTATGTGCTAATAGCCAGAGGTACAGTAGCCTTAAACACAATTTAAAAGTACTCTCATGAAATAATGACTGAATTAGATGTAAAAACAACTTAAATAAGAAAGCACTGCCTGACCTTTCTCATATTCTTAAAAAACAAGGTGCAAATGATTTTGTTTCAAACTCTTACACACAAAAATGAGCTTGAATCGTTGATAACATTCATAAAACTCTGGAAGCAAAATACCAATTACTTGTTTATTCCTGTGAGAAGCATGTTTTAATGATGCTACTGAGGCGTATTTAGGCAGTGTTGTAGCTAGTTTAATGGAAAATTTGCCTCTGGGAAACTAAATGATAAACGCAGAAGGCAGAAAACTGAAAATGAAAGAAAAGAGTTTCTCTGCAACACTCTCCACCTATAGGTTGCTTCTTGACATAAGAAGTCATTTATTAAGTTCTACATAGATACTTAACCAAATTCCATCCTCTATTCACATTAAATGGTCTCAGACAATCAGAAAACAGGACGCTCACTGAGGTCAAAACAGATTCCTACTGCTTAGGGTTTTTCATACTTGGCTAGAAAGGAGTAAGAGATTTACAACAAGTGACAGACAGTAGATCAGTATTAATTACAACTTCATTACTGCTCCATTACAACTGAACAGTTCATTTCCCATCTGCACAAATGGTCCAGTGAATCTGCCTCGGCGATTAGTGTTGTGTTCAATGACTCCTGCAGGGTGGGCGAAGGAAAAACCCTGACGCGTTCTTCAACCAAGCCCCAAAAGGGCTTACGTTTGGCCGGATGGAATGAAACACTGCCAAAACAGCCGCATCTGGACTGACTGATCTCTCTCCAAAGGGTGAATCTCATTTGGCAGCATGAAATCATCCACAGGTAATGTTTCACCTCTTCTGTGCTGAAGTGGGGCAGAACATCAACACAGCTATGGCGTAGGAGCATGAGAGGAAATCAGCAAGAAAGAACTTTCTTTGCTAATAAGCAGAGGTGGGTAAAGTGACCTAAATCCATACTCAAGTAAATGTATTCTTACATCCAGAAAATAATGACCGAGGTAGAAGTAAAAATACTTGAGAATTCCTTACAGCAACACAGCAATGGTTCTGGGTACATTCAGCATCTATGAGCATAGGGACTGAACTTTGTTAGGCTCTATTCTCTTTTTTATGCTACTTTTGATCAGAAATAAAGCATCAAATTTGAAAACGAAAGTTGAGCAAAGCAGTCTAGGTACTGATTTAACTGAACAGAATGAAATTACACCCAAGAAGAGATTGAGTAACTCAGTGTGAATGATTAAAGGGAAGCTGAGCAAAATGTAATTATGTTCCGCACCAACATACTTGAGTATGAATAAAAGTACCAAAAAATGGTGCTTTGCATTTCCATGATTCTAATGTGACATCAACACAGCTCCAAAAGAAGAAAACTGAAAAACAGCAATTGTGTTGATGTAGCACAATTTGTATGCAACATTTTTTTCAGAGTATTGTCATTTAAAAATATTCAGACATGTACTAATTCATCAAAATGCAGCCTTTCATTTATTTAACTTCTAATCAAAATGGATATTACGTACGTTATTCATTTTTCAGGAGAAGGAAATATATTCAACAGAAAATTACACAAAACCTCCAACACGGAGTATGATATCAAATCTGACACTGACAATTTAACCCTTCCATCCTTCCAATTTGAAAAACCAACGGTTTGCAGCTGCGTCCTCCTAACAAAAACTGTTCCTAAAGCAGTCACTAACATTACATTCCCCTTTACAGAGACACTAACATTCACATAAACAACTACCCAAACACACTTCAGCTGCCTGCACATTTCTTTCTCATGTGCATCTAAAATGGCTTAGTGAGATACTTCTGAGGGGGTTAGATATAAGATAATCCACTTAAACAATCCTGTCCATCCTTCCACTGAGAACTCAATGCTATGAGTCTGGATGTGTACATGTCAAAAAGCAGTTACTGAGAAAAGGAAATAGGCGAAAATTAAATGAATAAACAAATAAATAGAAAGTTTATCCTAGAACACGGACACTGAAGTTGTGATATGTGGAGTATGGTTTTATTGACTGATGAGTCTAAATTTGTTAGCAGGATTATTTGGATCAGGAGATGCAGGAACTGAAACCAACTTTGAAGATGTGTAAAAATATCCCTGCAGTTTTTTTTTTTAAAAAAAGCTTATAGCAAGTCTTCTGAAAAGAATGGAATGTGTAATAAAAGCAATGAGAGGACACTAAATACTAAAAAATTCTGATATATAAGTATGTTTTCTGCCTTTTTCCTGATGCCGAAAAACGAGTGGCTTGTACTTAATAGCCGTTTCTACTAGAAATTAAACTAATGTAAGGGTGGTCTCTGACGTTTGCACTGTATTGTGTTACATAGGAAATTCACTTGAGTAAATAAATACTACCCACCTCTCCTCTGGGTCTGTACCAAGTCCAGCTTTGTCTAATCTTTCAATGAGAAGCATTTTTACGCACCTCATTTTACGAGATGGAGCGGATGGAGGGCAGCAACCCACTCTAGTGAAAGAGCTGAGTGCATAATGGCTGCTAATGACGCTACACATCTGCAGAAATTTCTCTGTCCTGTAGAGGCCGGAGACGGCAGCTTATCCATCATGCAGTGGAGGGGTGAGAATGGCAGTTACTGCACCGCAGTGAGCGAGTGGGGGGTGAGGGACGTAGGCTGCTGCCTCCACAGGGCTAGAGGGCTTAAGAATGCCACTGCGGGAAACGAGGGAAATGCGCTTTCCTCCGAGCAGCAGGATTGCATTATACAGCAACAAGAGCACACTGATGAGATTGACGCCTCAGTCAGCTGTGAGCCAGAAGCTGGTCAGAGAGTCAGACTACTCAGCTGATCCACTCTAACCCATCTGTTGGAAAACCTCCCTGTGCTGTGATCATAGTTCTAGTAAGTAAAGTGATGTAGTAAGTAGACTGTAGCTTCAACAACAATGTGCCAGACCTGCTGCAGCTTATTAACTTCTTTAGAAGTCTATGATTGGCTGGATCATCAGTGTTAGATATGGGCATGTTAGATGAAGGTTGGAACTAAATTCTGCAGAAAAGTAGATCTCCAGGTGGAGGGTTGGTGACCACTGCCTTACTGTGCATTAAACAACACTGGCCTGCAAAATTTTGACCGAAATTATTCACGTTAGTTGATGTGATCACGTAATTACCATTATCTACAGACGCTTATCTGGATCATTCGAAGTCGGTCAAGATACTCACAGCATGCAGCAAAAAATGTATGATTTGTTTATTTGCAGACTGTGGTCTTCTGCGGTATCATCAAGCCAGATTCTCAATAACGCATACTACAGTTTGAACACTCCAGGCCAAACTACATGTTTTGTTGATTTTCTAGGTGAAAATAAGTTAAAATGTCCTCTACAGGGAACTTAAACATGGAATTTGTCTGCAAATTGTAGTGCGTAATTTCTATTTATTTACAAAAAATAATACATTTTTGCACAGGTTAGGTTTTGTGTTTTATATTTTTAACCACTACGAGCAAATAAGCAGTAACTATGCATTAAAAAATGTTCAGAAATGTGTTCTCTGTAGAGAATTTATTAACTTATTTTAGCTTAGAAAATCAACAATGTGTGTAATTTGACTGGGGTACCCAAACTTTTTCCTACATACTGACCACAGATTATAAATTACCAATGAAGAAAGTTCATGAGCTCTTCCTCATCTCTGTGCTGTGAGCAGCACTCAAAGGTGAACCACTCCTGTAATATGAAGTAATAGGCCTAACATTAATCATTCAGTAATATTCAGCATATTTGGTGTGACATGTCACCGCATCATAAACATGTTTGACGTTTTAAAGGGGACTAATTTCACAAAGCTTAATATCTTACATATACATTGCAATATGCGCATGTGTGTATGTGTAAGGAGTGAAGGGCTTACGTAGCAAGAGGTTTAATGTCTGAGGGCCTGTGGGAATGTAAAAAGTTTGGGAACTACTGTTCTAGGGTATGATGAATAAATGTGTTGCTGTGTGTATTTGTGCAGCAGTAGCTCCCATAATGAATATTTACAAGAAAACTGACTAAATGAATTAAGTACTAGCTTCCAGGTAACAGAAATGCATACCATGGTAAATTAGCTTTGATTTCCACTCCTCTCTATTACCAGGACAGACAGCAACACTACAGTAAACTTAACTGGATTTAATGGCCTTTATCCACTCTGTATGGTGTGCACTCTATTCAGTTCCACAGGGAAGCTATACAAAATCCAGACATCAAAACCAAATTTATAAGCCCATCATGAGCAACAATAGATTTCTCAGGAACTTTATAATAGCATAATTTCTCACTTCACTGAAAAAAAACATATGCGATCAGTAACACCACAGTGTGCTGCGTTTGATTAATTATTTAAAGAAATCAATTGCCTTGATTTATTTCAGTTGACTATATTTAATTTTGTTATGTACCTTGAAGAGAAATTTTGGACCTATTTAATCACGTTGTTTAAGTTACTCAACTAAATTGGGACCACTCCAATCAAGGTAATTAGTTTCCTTAATTTATTTAAGCAGCCTGAATAACCCTGAAATGTTTTTGACATATGATTGTAAGATGTTCAGTATATTTTCAGTGGAGAAAACTTATGGATTTTGGATAGAATATCCCTTATATGATTCTCCCACAGACAGGTCTTTCCATTATTTGCACATATACTAGTAAAATGATTTAAGCTCACTGTTGAATACAGTTCCTTCAACTGATTCATGGAAGATTTGTTAACTTGTGTCACACTGTGCACTGAAACTAAAACCAGGTGTGGATGTAGATGGGAGGAGTGATACAGTTTCTCTACAGCCTATTTTACAAAGACAATTTGAAAAAATCAACCTTTTAACATTTATATCTCACAATTCTGTTCAGTCAAACAGAGTAAAGTTGTATATACGAACGTTGGTACCATACATTTTGACTTTTTTGCCTCCATTTTGCTAGCCTACATGTCTCCACCTGTATTGGGAAAATGATTGTGATTGTGTTTGTGCATGTTAAAAACAGGGTTAAATCAGCAGCATCTTACCAACTGATTTTACACAAACAGGGCCCAACAGAACAGTCTTTAACCACGTGGACACCTTCTAGTGCATACAAACTTACATTTGTAGCTTCTGTTTAGTGTGATGCAAGGTATCACTGAGCTTTGAACATCACACATTTATGGTACTGTCATACTTAATGGATGGATACTGTAGTTAGGCAGGCTATCTGGTGTCATATGATACATTCATAGAGTTTAACCCCTTAAAATCCCTGCCATTTTGCATACTAAGGCTTATTATTCAGTAACTAGAGGGACTTTAGTGCAACCTGGTTAAGCTATTCTCAGGTTATAGAAGTGTGCAGTAAAGTGTTTTTCTTTAAGTGTTATGAAATACTTTTTAGGTCAAAAGTTTATGTTAAAACTATCATAAAACAATTAACAATTCAACAATTTATTCACATTTTTTTTTTCCTTTTAAGTGTGACAAAAGAAAGTGGTGTAAGAGGGTTTTATTTCTTAATCTTCTATTGCACCCTAAAGATTACTATTCAGTAATTACATGGAAAACAATGCAAATTGGCTGAATTATTCTTCAATTATAAAGCTTCAGCAAGTCTGCAACTGCCAGCAGTTCTGTGGAGTTTCAGAGGTACTTTGTGATTCTGATTCCAGATCAGCTCTGAGTGTTTCAGTGCCACAGAGCCAGATTCCCTCCCAGTCACTGCTCCTCACTGTGACAGGGCAGCATCTCTCATGCCCACTTGGGTGATTCTACTCAGTGTGGAATCAACTTGTCTGGATATTCTTTGCTTCCACAAACAAACCCACCTGCCAGACACTGTAGTATTAACTAGGGACCCCATTAGCCGTGGTGCTAACAGCACATACTCTCCCAAGGCAAAGCCCTTTCCGCCTGTCCCTGTGGGAGAACAACTTTTGGAACGGTTGTGTTTTTGTCTCCAGGTTCTGTAAGCTCTAACTCAGAAGCGTGAGACTTAAGGTCATATCACATTTTCATTCCAGGGCTGGAGTCATTTTATTCAAGGATTGGATTATAGAGTTCAGTGGTAGGGCAGAGGTACTTGAATGTGTGGTCTCTCATGTTCCTATTTTTATTTCATTGATGGGCTCTGACATTTTACAACAGTATAATTATTTATTTCCGGCAATTCAGTTTACAGCATACCACATCTTCCAGAAGTCTTTAAATATTATTGTTGCCATTGCAAAGTTCAATTCGTTCTTTAGATTGCAAATGACCCAAAGGGACCATTGAGGAGGCAAAGATGGGGAGAGAGAGAGAGAGAGAGAGAGAGAGAGAAAGAGAGACAGGCAGAGAGTAAAAGCAGTGGAGTAATAAAAGAAGATATTGCAATGGTATGGATGTCAGGTCTCTATAATTGCCTCCCTTGTTTCTCTGGGATATACTGGTAATAAGTGGAGCATCTGGGTTTGCACCGCGCTATCTGAATCTCATCTCAGCCTTCTTGCATGTGAGTGTATGTAATTACCTCAGAGTGTGTGTATGAGATCTGCAGGGAGGCTATAGGAGCTGAGCTTTAGAAACACCATAAGGCTGAGCACTGCAAGCTATAAGGGAAGCCCTGCATGCTGATGAAAACTCCAGCTACACATAAGAGTCCTTTTCCCACCCTACTGCCATCAATAACACACTTGAGAGCTTTGTTTCTTATTGGGCCAACAGCTGTTATCACAACATCATCACAGTGTTGTGCTGTTTGTTAGCATGCTATGAATACATAAGCAGACTGTGAAATGAGATGGGGTGTGTTCCTCAGCTCTAAATTTGTCATCTATAGTTCAATATATTATGACGTAATTGATCATAACAAAAGGCTCACCTTGTTCTCCAAGCGTCCGATCAGCTCGGCCAGGCGGTTGATCTGCATTTCCAGGCCTTCTTTCCTCACCTCTGTAGGCCCTGAGATGAAAGACATAGTAGGCATTAAACGTGATATTATCATGAAACATCAGGTGATGACTACTTGCCATGTAAATACTTGTGATTGACAATTTAGTTGGCTTTTTCGTTCATTGTATGTAAATATTAAATTATAAGCCTGAAATGGCCATACTGGCTGATTAGCTATCTTGCTTCCTGGCTTTAAATACATACAGGCAGGTTTACTGAGAGAGGCACTAATTACCGATAGTCTACCACTTTACGCTGGTGGGGGTGGCCAATTTAGCAAATTAACAACTAAGAACTTTATGCTAATGAACACAGGCAAAATTCTGTAGTTAATATATGACCAGCGCGATATAACCACGTGTTTGGCTCATGTGCTTTCGAAATTCAAAAGCCTGTTTCAACAGTTTCCACAAGTAGTTTAGTCCTTATTTGTATCATGCTTCAAACTCTTTCACTCATTAGGTCAAACTAATGATTTATTTTCTTAAAATCTTACCAAAGACACCATAATGGCTAGCTTGAAAAAATGAATTATTATTTAGAGATAAAGAACACAATTACTTTTACATCACAAATTTGAGAAAATAAGACAATCGAACAAACTACGTAATTACTTTTTACTTTCTGTTCTGAGACACATTTTCAGCTGGTGGGATTTGCTGAAGCTCTGTGGCGGTTCTATGCTAAGTGCATTTGTAAACTGTGATTTTGTAAAACCCCTGTTTAATTTCACTGAGTGCATTCAGGTCATTTGGGAGCTATATGACTTTAAGTGTAACTGCTTAGCTATGTGCAGTAAATCAAAGAATGTCAGTGACATTTCTGCCACATAAACACGTGTACAGATACCACAGTGCATAATGAAGTAAAGAGTAAAGCAAGAACTGCAGAGGCAAAGAGTATTAATATGTGCTTTGAACAATAGTTTGGAAAAGAAAACTTCATATCATTTGTCAAAACCTGCTCATTGATAATGTTGTAAAATGTGCTTTGTGAGGGAAATTCCTATAAGTGCATATGCAATGAGGCAAAACCACAAAAGAGCAGTGGCTGCCACATCTTTGGTCTTTTTAAAGGCACTGAAGCGTCATTACACCTTTTTACTAAACTGTGACAGCCAGTTGTTAACAGTAAAATGCAACTGCAAAAATGCAAAATGTTAATAAATCTGCCCCATAGTAGCTTCCAACTAACAACAAATAACTCAGCCTCAAATAAACAAACAATACTCATTGTTGCCCTCTAAAGGTGTTACCAAATTAGAAGTTAGAACTTTTGTTGTTTTCATAAGGCCCACAGTGTGTTTTTTCTGCTTTCTTCTATTTACATGTATTTGCCTCAAAATGCATTCAATTCACTGTGTATTGCGACATAAACGTGTCATTATGAATGCTAACAACTATAGAAAATAATTGCAATCAGGCAATTATGCAATAATTGTGACAGGATTACTTTACACTTTTTCTGTATCACTGTCTTTTATTTCTAATGTATTGAATGAAGGTTTATATACTAAAAAACTCTTTTTATCTCCAATGTTTTCCCCTAAAACTCTTCAGAATGGCTCTCATGGCAATAAAACAGTGTGAAACAACTATGTAGCTTTTATTTCTACACAAACCATTATTAAGCTTGTTAGGACTCTTTACTATAGTCATTAAAAACCATACTGAAAGATGGGCTTAGCTTTTCCACACAAAGGTCCTGGTTATTAAAGTGCACAGCAAGAGAACAAAATGAAAGAATAGCGTGTTTAAACCGACAATGATTAATACAGTTTCCACCCTCTCTCCACATGCAATGACATGTCCAGTTAATGAGGAGAAAAAGCTGCCCAGCCTTTAAGTCAGCACCGCTTAAGGTGCCAAACCAATTAGACTATGGCACTTCCCTAATGCTGATGAGTCCTGCAGGACAAGGAGGGACGGGGAACACATCAGCCGTAACCATGGTGATGACTGTGGCCCCACTGAAGACTCATTGAAGTGTTAGACCTCAGCTGGGCTGAACCGCCTACTTTTCAGACTGCTCTCTGTTCTCTTCTGGTTTTCATAGTATTCTACACTGTGACCTGAGTCTTTTAGATTATCTTAATATCTTTAGCTGCCTTCCAGAGCATACTGGAGTTAAAATGAAATAATATATATAAGCTGGAAGTGTGGACTATCAGCTTTAATTTGAGGGTATTTACATCCAAATAAACTTAACGGTGTAAGAATTCCAACCATTTCCATATATAGCCCCCAACATTTTTAGGGGGCTCAAAAGTATGGACAAACAATCATAAATTAAATAGTCATTTTTAATACTTTGTTGCAAACCCTTTGCAGTCAATGACAGCCTGATATCCGGAACCTCTAGACATCACTAGACGCTGGATTTCTTCCTTGGTGATGCTCTGCCAGGCCATTACTACAGCCACCTTCAGTTCCTGCTTGTTCTTAGGGCGCTGACTTGGCCAACGCAGAACATTCAACTTCTTTGCCTTAAAACAATCTTGGGCTGCTTCAGTATGCTTGGGGTCATTGCCCATCTGCAGTGTGCAGAGCCGTCCATTGAGTTTTGAAGTATTTAGATGAATTAGGGCAGATAAATATAGCTCTTTGTACTTTTGACAGCAGTCAGATCATCAATAAATACATGGGGACAGTTCCATTGGCAGCCATTCATGCCCACACCATAACACAATCTCCACCAGAAGAAGCAGTATGCTTTGGTTCATAAGCAGCTCCTTCCCCTCTCCATCCTCTTTTCTTCCCATCATATTGGTACAAGTTAATCTTCGCATCTGTCCATAAGATGTTGTTCCAAACTGTACAGGCTTTTTAAGATGTTTTTAGCAAACTCTAATCTGGTTATTGTGTTTTTGAGGCTTTTCAATGGTTTACATCTTGTGGTGAGTCCTCTGTGTTCACTCTGGTGAAGTCTTCTATTGATTGTTGACTTTGACATGGATACGCCTACCTCTTAGTGGGTGTTTTTGATCTGGCAATTGGTTAAGAAGGGGTGGGGGGGCTACTTCAGTTCTTGCTCTAGTATAACGCTTTTCACATTGAACCACTCTGAAATTTGATTAAAGATTGAATGATTTATTAAGCAGACATAAAAGAATCTGTGGAATTCTCCCTTTAGCATATACTTTCAAAATGTCTTTAAGACTATGACAAACATACAATCAGAAGTGTCCAAACATATGACCGGTATTGTAAGAAGTGTTTTCAGAAACTTAGAACAGATCAGCGTTAGGTGAAGTTGGTCTGACTTCAAATACTTCTCTGGCTGTTTCAGATAACAAACTTGTTATTGTAAGGCAGCCATGCTGTTGACAGTGGTCCCTGTGCGCACCTGCTGTAACAAACTGTCAGACATACTGGCAGATGGGAAATACCCACACACATACACACACTGACTACTCAGACATGCTGCACAATGACAAAGAACATGCAAGCGCACATTCCATTAATCCATTTAAATCAAAAACCTGATGCCATGTCAAGGGCAGGGCTGAGATTACTTAATTCAGGATTAGGGCATCACAATTACACAGTCTCGTCGTGTTTCATGCTAATGACACCGAAATGAGAGGAAATGATAGTCCAGCTAAAGCTGGAAAAAAGAAAGACAAAGATGACTGACAGCTGAGGCTTATTCTTTGAGCTGTGCCATGTGCTGGGGCATGTGGAAATGTCATTCTAATTAACAGTGGCACATGAGCCAAAGACCAACTCTGTCCAGCAGCCAAGATTCATGAGAAGAACGCTGAGCTGATCACTAAGCACTGCTCACTCGCCCTTCTGACTCTCCGTGCTAAAGCAGTCTAAAGAACTGGCTTTCGTCTTACCAGCTGCAGAGAAGCACAACTCTCCTGAATGAAAATGCAGCAGAACGGCAGGACCTCTCAAGAGGAGTAAGACAATATAGAATGGCTCATTACAGAGCAGTGGCTCTGTTGCTTCTACCTCTGCAAGCAGCGCCCGAGCCAACAGCTATTGTTGTAATGATACTTAAGTGTTACAAATAGCACTGAAAAAATGCTTTGAATTTACATGATTCAAATGTACATATTGCACATTAATAAAATATGTTACATCAATACAATTGTCTTTACTTCTTCTGGAAAGACCCGTGTTGGTGTAAGGAATGAGTTTAGCTGTAAATGGGGTACGTCACAGGGTCCTGGTTTAACATCTGGCTCTTATAAAGTGGAACAAGCACACACATATTCTGGACAACCAGCTAATGCAGAGGTTCAAGATGCAGACAGCGGGTCACGACCGTCTAGACGTGGTTCTACACGTCATACCATAAACAAACATGCACTTGATGATAATGCTAAAGTTGGGAGAGATAACTTCAAAAGTCAGATAAAAACAGCAAAAGTCAGATAAAAAAGTCAGATAAAGCTGATGAGCTGTTTTGCAGGAAGAAAAGCTTCAACAATCCAAATAATCCCAGACATATTCAGTGATGTTGAGACCTGCACTCTAGAGTGGTCAGGTCATTGTTCTGAGAAAACCAGCAGCTTCTTTCTTTAATTTGCTAATGTTTTTCTTTTTTGTCTGTTTCCTTTTCTCAGTAATGACCTCTTGACAACTACACATCCTTTTATAGTGTTGATGTGTTTTCTCACAGTGGAAGGATGGACAGAAACACTTAATACTGCACCAACAGCAGTGCACTATTTGACAGCAGAAGCCAGAATTCTAAACTTAATGTCACACAGCACACTATTTAGCTAGGCAGTATGGAGCCATTTGGGATTCAGCCTGGGTTTGATGCTACTTCTGACTGAAACACGGACATTTGAAGTGTGTAAGCTATTCAGGTGACATTCTTTAGACTTTTACATTGCCGTTTTTCAGGGAATCATATCGTGAGTACTTTAATTCAAGCCTGTGATATTGTTTGGATAAATGTTCACGTTGTTTAGCCTGTTTGCTATCTTTTAGCCTGTTGGCTAGCTGACCAGCCTAGTTCTAGTAAAGAAAATAAGTTTTCAGCCCCTCAAT